TCTTAAAAGAGACTCAGCTTTTTTCTCTCCTGCTTTTCAGTCTGTCATAACAAAACAGGAGTGTTCTTAGAGTTGTGTCTTAGCTATTGCCTCTTGGTTTCTCAGGTGCAAACATAAGCTGCAAAACAGAAAATGTTGTGGATGTTTTAAAAACGTTTGATAGTTGGAAAGTTGACATTGGAACATCCGGAAAGAAGAATATCTGAGTCAGCCAAACTTCTTATAAGATGTCAGCACAGAGCTAGGGGAAGCTGTGAGAAAGTAAATCTGTTTCTACCTAAATTGTGTCTTCTCATCTAAAATTTAGTACATGTTTTGATCACAAAATGCGGCCTTGTGCTGGGGATGAGGGTTCAGATGCCACCCAGGACATGAATCTTTTTATTTTTCACACTTCCTTTCATAATAATCCCCCATACATGGAGGTAGTGCCATGGGCTAGCTGTTCATGCAGAAAATTATAAAAATTGTAGGAAGTGATCTGAAGAAATCAGAAAATTGGGAAAACAGCTTTGATTAAGGAGGAAATGAAATAAATATTAAGCTGTCCATACACACAAATAATAATTTAAGAATAGCTCCACACATTCTTGTGTTTGGTACTACAATGGTTAACTTTATGCTGCAGATACTGTTTATGGAAAGACCTTGGGATCAAAACAGGTCATTTTACTGACTGAATCATCTAAGAGTTAGAAAATAATAAAATACATTTTCCTTAAGGCATTAATTTGTGGGTTTCTATGCTGTTAGCTTTGTCCTGTTGGTTTTTTCCAGTCCAGGGGATTGTGTGAACAAGGTCTATAAAAGAAGAGTTAGGTACGAAAGAAAACACACAAAAAAGTGATGTAACATGGTTGTGAATGTATCAAGTGTCAGCAGAGATGCTCTGTATGGAAGCTAGAAGGGAACACATGCTAGTCTTTCCATCAGGTTTCAGTGTAGCTTTGCCTTTGGAGTTAGTGACAGTTTCACTGCATAATATTGAGATGACAGTAAGAATAAAACTTTCTTCCATTTTTGACTTATGTCCTGACATAAGCAGAGTTGTTGGTATGTCTTCAGTATTTGAAGCCATTTATGTCAGGTAATTGTATAGAAACCAGTTTCCCAAAATATTTTATTTGGGAGGGAGTACTGATTAAAGTGAGCATAGGAATTGAGTCAAAGTAAACTTCAACCCACTTAAATTTACAATCCAAGAGAAAGCATATTTCTATAGAATGGTAATCTCTACACAGTTATGAATAATCAACAAATTATGTGACAGTTCCTAAATTTTAAGATGTATAATGTTGGAAGTAAATGTTTTAAGTATCAGAGGCAAATCATGATAAGGATGTGTAACAAATGTGAGTAATTTTGTGAGCTTGTTTCAGAAAATTACCATTGTTCTGAATTTACCACATTTTGATTGCTCAAAACTCACCCACTCGAGGAGTTGACAAGGCAGTCACACAAGCCTCAGATCATTGTGATACATCTTGCAATTTTCAAGGTACTGTAGAAGAATGGGGTTTGGCTTTGAGTTTGTTTAAGAAAGTCTTCTTCTCCAGAGGTGATGTAAGTTTTCCACTTTGTTTCTGAACTAAGTTCAAGAGTTACACTATTGGTAATGGAATCATTCTTACAAGTTCTCTAGCCCTTAAGTCACTGTAAACTGAAGAGAAATATTTCACATGCCCTTAGAAGAAATGCTCTCGGTGTCCAAGCCTCAAAATGGAAGAGAGTTATGTATTTCTGTTAACAAGGACTTCAGTTTTTGGTCATTGTTCCAGTTTCTTAGATTTTGTTCTTATTTGTAACATTATTATAAACTGTAGAATTCTTGAACACCCACTTTGAGAAATAGCATTTAGAGGTAATTTAGTGGTTGCAAAACTGTGTGTCATTTAAAGACATGTAAAATAATTACATAAGGAATGGCTTCTGCTCCCAGTGACAACACCAAAATGTTAATAGAAGAAGTAAGTAGTATTTATGATGTAGGCTCAATTAATGTATTATAATTATTATTCTTAATTATATATTTATATACAGTATGACACTTCAAATTTTTTTTTCAAAATGCTATTATTATTATTATCATCATGATACCATTTACCTCAAGATAATGTGACAGCTTTATTTTTAATATAGGAATTTGTTTTTTATTATATTACAATGTAATTCCATGTACTGCACTATCAAGTCCATACTGCCAGTAATAAGATTCCAATATTGTAAATACATACCACAGCACTGAAAGTTTCTCCCAGCATGTCTAGTCATGTCTGAGAGAAAGAAGTAACAAACAGAACATATCAAGCTTTAATAAAACAGAAACTGACTTGTACATAACTGTGTTTTATTCAGAAAGATGGTAAAGGGTTCCTATTATTCCCCTAACAGTGTGTTTGTAATCTTTGACATGATTATCTGTAGTTGATTATTATCAGCTAAGCCAAACAATTGGGCTTGCAGACCTGTTCCTCCAAACTTCAGATCCATCTTCCTGCAGGTCTGCCAATATTTCATCCTCCAAGCTCTAATATTTTAGTATCTTTACAGGCAATAATTTAAAACCCATTCTTTCTAAATTTTATTATTTGTATTCATTTGTATCTGTAATATTTGTTGTATTTGAGCCAATTTAAAATGTTCATTGCAGTATTACAAAACTTCAAACATCTAATAAAATAATCTTTACACATCATAAGCAACAATGAAAACATGTGACAACTTTCTCCACAAAAAAACTAATCATGTCTACTACGTATCAGTAGATAGAATACCATGTTATGAATGTGTAACACCGAGCATCTTGTTCATGACTTCTGCCTTAACATTTCATTAATCTTCCGAACAGCATAGTGAAGTCTCCGGGAAAGGCTATTACTGCAGCCACATTGTTCTATCAGGCTCAGTCTGTAAGTCCAGAAAGCTTCATTCTTCGTTATTGTTGTTGCAGTGCCCATCATCAGACACAAAATCACCTTGGAATTGTATGGAGAGAAGTTGATCTGCAAAGTACCATTTAAGAGCAGCTCGACAACAGCTCTGTCATAGCGCATCCAGTTGCAGCACAGCCTGTCTCTTGTACTGACATAGAAGTGCCAGTCTTCGCCACAGTCCCCAGGAACTGTTGGAAGAGAGTGAACAGTTTCATCTTCTTCTCCGGACCCTCATGAAATTGGCCAATTGAGAAGTCCTTCTTAGATCCATCTTGATTTTTGTACTGAATGTTGATGCCATTGGACATGAGGATGAGTTTGGAGTGATCCAGAAACATGACACCTATACTGTTGTCACACAATTTGTAAGAAAAACCGTATTTATCTGAATAATCCACCCAAGAGCTGATCCACACAACAGGCTGGGTTGCAAGATCTACTGTCTCATCCATGAGATTTGGATCCTTCTCTAGGGTCTTGGAATTCAGAACTTTGAGCAAGTGGTGTTTCAAGATAATAAGGAAGTTGAAACTTTCAAAGAAGGGGATCTGTCTGCAGTCAGTCTCAAACTCTGCTCGTGAGAGATAGGATTCCTAGGGCTCTTGGATACATTATAAATACTGAGCTGTTTGAGAGGCTTCCTTTTTATAGCAAAAGTATGCTCCATGACATTAAACTGAGGGGCCATTATTAAGCATGAAGTAGGGAGAGAAGAAGTATCCCCAGCAAAGAACTGATATAACAAATGAGATCATTCTTCTACTAATATCTGCTGCATGTCAGTTCATAGTCACTGGAACATGGTAATCACTGTCGTAAGCGACTACGTTTCTTTTAGGGTTGCTGTCTGAAATGGTGGTTTTCCAATGTGCAGAGTAAATATCATGTAGCCCACTGACCACACATCAACTTCACAACTCTGGCCTTTCTTTTCTAAGCATTCCAGTGTGATGTAATTTGGAGTACCACATATGGTTTTCTTTCTTTCTGTCTCCAGTTTCAAGTCCCAAACGTTTACTTGCATTTCTTTACTTATGAATAAGTTTCGATGCTTCAGATCCCTGTATTATTTTGTTCTCATGCAAGTACTGAACAGCTGAAAGTACATGCTTCATATAATACCTTCTGGAGCTCTGCCATAGATCTTTACTGACACAATTCCAACACAATATAAATGTAAGATTCGTCATCAAAAAATTCATGAAAGCCAACAGTATTCTCATGCTTCAGTGTTTTGTGCATGCTGATTTCCAGGACGAGTTTTTCTTTCATTTGATACTCATTCAAAACCTCTTTGGAAACAAATTTCCCAGCATACACATTCTCATTGTTTGTATTTGTAATTTGAAAACACATCTTAAACGCTCTTTTGCCTAGAAACGCATTTATTTTGTATGGGATTTCTTTGGTATCATAAAAAATTATATTTGAAATTAATTTTTTCCCTTTTATCTTCTCGGTCATTTTAATAGGCTAAATGTAAAAAACACATACAAAATCAGTTACAATGGGAAAGAATCACTGAAAATTGTAACATAATCCGGAGTACAGACCATTCCTGTTAACATATATTGTAAGCAGAGCCTTCTACGCACTTAAGTAATCACGATCGACGGTAAGAATTTAGAATTTTGAAGGTAATTCAACTAAGAATTTGAGCTGTAGGGTTATTGATTTACTTAGTAAAATTTTATACAGAGGGGTTCTGTCAGAATTACGATGACATGAAAGTAAATCTGCATTTCCAACCAAAACACACAAACTAAAATAACGAAGGGAGGTTCACAAACAGCTGAACAATGCGATTCCAACTGATAGGCTGTTACTCAAAGTACATCATATTGTAGAAGCAGATATAATAATGGAGACTGTTCGATCACAATGTCTGCATTTAAATTTATGTTACTATTATTTATTTGTTTGCATCACGTAATCTACTTTAACTGCAACGCGTCCTTGGCAACGTCTTATGAAGGATCTACGGATTTAAAAGAAATCTCTGTCCTATTCCGTGAAAATGCAGCTGTTCATAGGGACTGAGGGCTTCCCTCAATGATTTACGTTGCTATTTTATCAGGTTGATTTTGGCGACACTGGCGTATTACCGGAAGCTATAAAAAAGACATCTGTTTTGCCTTCTCAGAAGAAAATGGCGTTCGGAGATTATCCAGCAGAGTATAATCCCAAAATACATGGGCCATATGACCCAGCCCGTTATTATGGACCTCGTAAGTGAATATAGTCGTAGAATATATTGTTTTTAACATTTACATTGATGGCATTGGTTTTTCCATATTGAAGATCTTCCTCGATTTAATTTCAGCTGATACACCTTTTGGTCAGTTGAAGTTGACTGAGGTAGGGGCATGGTTTGGACGTCGAAATAAAAATCCAAGGGCTCTTGTTGGTGCTGTCAGTCGAGGTAAGATGTAAATATGTGATTGTCGATTTGGATGGCATGTTTTCAAAGTTTCGTGTTCCTAGTTTATGATCAGTAACGGTTGTTGACCTAAGTGATTACGTGCTTTTAAACGTGTTTATAAAACTATCACTTGAATGGCAGCATGGTTTACTGCATAAGGATTGTTAGAGCTAATAAAAATATTTGTCATACAAGTTACGTTTAACTGCATTAATTATGATGTCGGTGGAATCTACAATACTTTGCAGTCTCTGATTTTCATGTAACCGAATCTTATTAGCTGCACACTGATGTAATCAGAGGCATATTGTGTCTATCTTGAGAATGTGCCATTGGAATCTATCGAAGACAGCACATTTCATATCACCACAAAATTTTTGGCAGCATGGAATTAAAGTATATATTTTAATTCTGTAATTGTACCATTAAATTTCAGCAGTTATAACCAGATGTAGTATGGACTCTGAAGTCCACTCCCACCTGATTATTTGTGATCATAGTGATAGATCTTGGGGGTTCCTTAACAACAAGGAATGTTTTTATGGATGGTATAATTAACTGCTCTAAGAGAACTAACATCTTGGCATGTGTGGGAAATGTATGTGAAGAACAGTTGTCCAGGGAGACAGTATCGTGCTACAAGTTCATGTTTGCAACATGACGTTTGTGTGTAATTAAAATATAAAATATATGAATGTGAATCATGTAAGGTTGTATTAGAATTTTAATATTGCCTTTGTGGCTAGTTCATGAACATAGAATTATTTGTGTTTTAGCCTGGTGGCGATGGCAACACAAGTATGTTCAGCCAAAGCGTTCAGGAATAGCTCCATTTTTCCAAGTTGTGACTGGTGCAATGTTGTTCTTCTATGTAATTAACTATGGAAAACTGAGTAAGTTTAACTTTGATTGAGAAGTAAATATAGGCCTAAGTTTGGCACAGGTTGTATTGATTGAACAGTTTACAGTGGAGTCCTAAGTTCCTCTTTATGATATAAAAGTTGGTGTGTCATGCACAGCGACATTGAAACTTATTATTGGGCCCATATTCTGTATGCAAACAATTGATTATTATAGGTACAGGCAACTCTCGGTTTACGAACAAGTTCCATTCCAAAGACGTTCGTTATGCGTATCTTGCATTCCTGAGCTTTTACGATATGTATCATATATGTTAGCAGCCATTTTAAAGCATTAAAACCATATACTAAACATCGAATTGCCCATACAGTACATTTTATTATAATATATGAATGTGTTATCTGAGAAAACATTCTACGCGGAGTGACATGTAAACTAACGTTTTTTTACTGGCTAGATTAGTTTTATTAACCAAGAACAGTTCAGTATAATTATCATGTAATAATTTTCTGAGTATTGTAATAAATGTATTTTTAAAAAATTTATTTACTTAAATCTTACAATTATGTTCACTATGTGTTTGGCATTTTGTTTTATAAGGAACTCTATCTGTTGGCGACTTTTAAGAAATTTTGAATGAATTGTGACGTTTGTTATAGCGAACGTTCGTAAACCGAGAGTTGCCTGTATATGAGACTAATATCAACAGAATTCTTTGCACGTTACAGAAGCGGAACAATCATGAAATTTTCTTTGACACTGTATAGTGGAACCATATTTCACATGTGATTTGTACGAAAAAATTCTGTTCATCAGCATAATTAAGTCATATTGACACATGCACAGAACAGTAAGTAGTACTTGGCATGATGTCAGACACAGCTGCTCTGTTGAGTGAATAATTTTAGTGTCAGTGACACGTGCAGCTTTGGCTGGGAGGTGGAAAGGGGCAGTTACATGTAAATGTGTGGGTAAACGTACTAAGAACTCAGATATTCTTTAGGATGTCTTTGTTTCTTCCAGAGCATCACAGAAACTACAAATACCACTGGTGAACAGCTTCAAGTTTTTAGTTGTAGTTGAGCTAGACTGATTATGTTAATAGAACATTGTTTTGTTTGGAGCAACTTCTGTTTCTTGTAATAATGAATTGCAATTAGAAATTAATAAATCATTATAGGTACTTGTGAAACATGTCTGTAATGTACCCATTTCCTTTCTAATGTGTTTTGCCTAAATCCAGTAGTTCGGATGTCTTCAGGATGTTGAATGCGAGCCTTTCTGGTGCTGTGAGTGAAGTCTTTTATTTTATGGGCTTAAAAGAGTTTGATTTTGGTGCATGGACAAGCATGGGAGAACAGAATAGAATTTATTTACATTCCATAGATGCTTCATTTGCCTAAACCAAGGATGTAGAACATGTCACAGCACAAGTACAATACTTATTTCTAATAGAAATATAAATTATGTAGTTATGACAGTGAATCATAGTCAACTATATTATTATTGCTAGAATAATTACACAATAAAGCATAACCATGATTGCTAATGTGTGTTTATAATATACAAGATATTTGGATGAGTTATACTCTTCTGTGGAGTAGGAGGAGTGGGAAAGGAGATACTCTTTTTAGTGCTGGCTTGACCTTTATGTTATGATACAGACTTTTATGTAGGTGGGGGGGGGGGGGGGGGGGGGAGATTATTGAGTAGCTAGTACAGTCCGCAGACCAAGAGAAAAGCCCTGTTAGGAATGCGATATACGTGCATGCGCAAAATTTCGCGGTGAGTGACGACCCACCCTAAAACCATGCGTTCCACAACCACTAAATGAACAACAGACAACAGGCTTTCATGTGTTCTAATGATTTAAGCTTAAAGCTTTAAGATTACCTAACAGTGGCACAGCGATTTAATCTAGAATATTATCACAACACCCACTGAATATATCAGAGGTGCACTCACTACACGCTACCCTTAACTGCTTGATGTTTTCAGTCTGTGTGTAGTTGTGTAAAACTCTGACGTATCACACTTCCCACCAATAGCAGCCCTTTAGTCCACTTGATAGTAAACATCCCCCCTGCACCGCCCCAGAAACGACTTCCCCCCGCAGGGCTTTTCTCCTGGTCTGCGGACAGTATGTAGAACTCCTTTTTGATATTTGCTCAGGTTCCCACGATCGCAACCCAGGATTCCC